CTGACTATTTGTCGAGATCAGATAATGAGACTGAACTACCAGAGGTAGCGTATGCAGTAAACGCTTTGGAGCAAGATCCCTTACAACTTGTTCGCCATCAGAAGTCGGATCCTAGTCTTAAGACAGTCATTCAGATGATACGTGAAGGGAAAGAGATTGAAATGGCAGCAGAGAATAGAGAGTTAAAGATGCTACTGCAGCAAAAACATAGACTCAAACTAAACGCTGCCGGCGTCCTAACTTGGAAAGCAGTGATGGTAGCTGGGTTACAGTGATACCAAAAAGCCTTCGTCGTGGGGTCATTCAAGAATGCCACCAACTAGCCCATACAGGAGTTACACGAACATACGACCTAGTGAGCCAAAGTGCGTACTGGCCAAACATGAGAGGCGATATTGCAAACTACGTACTCGCTTGCCCACAGTGTCAATTGATGAAGGGTGATCCGTGCATTCGACCACAGCTACAAACGATACCCGTAACGGCGGTTGGTGACTTATGGTCCGTGGACATAATGGGTCCGTTCCCTCAAACAGCAAGTGGAAATCAATACATTTTAATGATGACGGAATACGCCACGCGGTGGGTAAATGCTGTAGCGATTCCAGATCAGCGCGCCAAGACCATAACCGAGGCGGTCATTCGACATATTGTGCCGGATCATGGTGTACCAAAAATGATATTGACAGATCAAGGCCCCTGTTTTGAAAGTGAGGAGTTCAAGACTCGTCTGGAGGCACTGGGTATTAAGAGGATTAGAGCGACTCCGTATCATCCGCAGACAAACGGTTTAACCGAAAGGAACAGTCGTACACTCAAGGAATGGCTAGCTGCGAAAAGAGGCAACTGGGAAACTGACTTACCGTTGGTATTACTAGCACATCGTGCCACAGTACAAGGGACAACAAAATAGTTGCCTTTCCAGCTGATGTATGGGAGGAAACCACGCCTACCGGTGCACCATAAGACTTGGCCACAACAACAAAAATGGAACAGTAAGAGATGGACAAGTGAACGGAAACAAGCTATTCAGAATATACAAGAGAAGCGCAAGAAAGACATCGAAAATTATGGCAAGAAACAAATCAAAGCTTGGAAGCTCTTTGAAGTAGGTGACTAGGTGAAATGTAGAGAACGAAAGTATACTACCGGAAGTGGACCAGGATCAGGAAAGCTTCTGCCGAAGTGGGAGGGACCATATGTGGTCACATCGAGACGCGGTCCAGTGCACACAATAAAGAGAGGAGACAAAGAGAAAAGAGTAAACGCCAGTCTGCTACAAAGATGGAGACAAGAATGTCAAGAGGAGGTACCAGAAGAGCAGCAGGATGAAACGTTTGTGCGGCGATCAAAGCGGTTACAGGAGAGACTCTATAATGAGGGGGCGAGTGTGGTGAGTGCTACTTATAATCCGATATAAGTAGTATATCAGAAACGAAGTAACAATATGTTTGGCACACTGGAAAGAGCAAGCAAAGAAGAGAACCATGAGAAGAATGTTGCCATATGATGCAGAATTCAAGAAGCTATAGAATGAGACGATATTCGACCAATTTGTCAAGGATGTGGTAAATGATGTGCAAATGGCCGGTTAAGAATATGGTATACCAAATTTAGCTATCTACCATACGTTTCATCAAATAAATATTCCTTTCAACCTCCTCAGTCTTGTCTTCTTTACAGTAGAACTGGCCATTGAATCGGGTAGCAGTGGCTGAATGGTATACGAGCTCGCTGGCCTCGTAACCGGAAGGTCCCGGGTTGGAACCCCAATGGGTGGGTGCTGCCGATGATTCCCAAACTAGGATAAAACGGCCGTGCAATACCCCCTGGTTTTTCAGTGGTTCTCTAATTGATAACAATCTGTGATCAACTCGTAATACCAAATCTAATCCTTACAAACCAACTATTGAAAAAATTCTTTAAGTGTGCTCAAAATGTACAACATTAATAGAGTGCAAAAAACTTGTAGTCCGTGGTACACAGAAAATGCGCTGAAAATCTGGTGTAATTTGAAGGTAAATAAACAACTATCATGGTACTTGTTTGTATTTTCCTTAAAAAAGAGAAGAATAAAGCGTTTGTCAAGTATTCAGAGTTCATACTTTATTGATTTTCAGACTAAAATATCCAAAGATTTCATCATCATATGAAATAACAACAAAATTTCGTGTGCACAGTCAGTTACTGTTTCATCGTATACTACTACTCTCACTCAGTAAGCAACTTTAATTCTTATTTGGACACTAACAAACACCTGTGGTCTCATATTAAATCACTGTTACTATTGCTGCTATTATTAATACAATTGTTTTAAGATAGATGTCAGGTGACTGTTGTCCAAATATTAGCTCATGCGGGTGATTTGTGTTTGCTTGCATAATTGGCTTCTTATTTAGCTTTGATGAATATACAAACGGCGATTATTTTCATAAGGCAGAGGATTACGAACAATTAAAAAAAGCAGTGTACACAATCTGTACTAATTCCTCGGTGAAAGAACGGAATGAAGCAACAACAACAAAAAAACTGTTCACACAAAATGTGAGTTTTTTTGGGTGAACACTTCCGCTCTGATAAACTGATGAAGCATTCCACATCTATGAAAGAATTGTTGACACAAATCTATTTTATCAACCATTCAGTTGACGGATCCTATTTTAGGTATTCAATTTAAGTTGAAAAATGTTTATTTTTAGATTATTATGAATGTTTACTACTGTCATTATTGTCAGAAAAGGTAAATATTCTTTACTGAAATTTAGAGACGGCTTTTATTGAAAGATGAGTATTGCTCACTACTGCTACTGTTAAATGCTTTGCAAATATCTTTTGATTACATTTCTGTGGTAGAATTCCCAGTGAGTTTGGTTTTTACTCAAGAAACACCGATGGACTTATATTAGCTGGATGGTACTGTTATACTAGAAGGATGTCGGAAAATAAACAGAAAGTGAGACTGTTGCAGGACTCGAATCACCCGTCTTCGGGAAGTCCTATTCTTTCCTTCCGATTTTTCATATTTTTTCGAGGCTATATTCCATTAGGCATCAGAATAGTCTCATGGTGTGCAACTCGTTTTGTGTGGCAGGTGTAGCGATTTTAAACTTAAAACTGATGAATGAAATTTTAGTTGTCTTTAAAAGTTATTCGTCACGCCTCAGAGAGAGTTTACGATTCTTGTGATATTATGAAAAAAATCATAATATTTATCGGCTTTGGTTTTGGCGCTCCTTGTCAGAATTCATTGATACCAGAAATTGTTTGTTCAGGTTACTGTATAAAAGGCTGTATATTATGGAAATAACTATTAAACTCTTCTAATTAACCCCATGCGACCTCTTGTGAAAACCAGGTAGTAGTATACGGAGAAATTCTCATAAGGAAATCAAATGGACAGGACAGTATACACATTTTCACAGCTTTGTTCCTCTCCAGTATAGAAGGCATTTAATAAGGACTCTCAGCCACAAGATTACGGCTATATGCTCAGAATACGTTACTGAAGATGAACTCTGCATTGTACATGACACCCTTATTGAAAATGGCTATCCCAACAAATTTATCAAGAAACACATGACAAAGAAAGCAGAAAAGGACTATTCTCTATCAGTAAATAACCAACCTCTATACATACGACTGCAGTTCAAAGGTGACGCATATAATTAAATAATTACGAAGAAGTGAAGGAAATGAGCTCAAAGAACTTTTATTGCTGGTGAACTATAAGTCATATTTTCCACACGACCGATGGTGATTCCTCACTCAATGGAAAGATGAAGCACCTTACCTAGCCACCTCCAGTTGTATTTACCAATTCAAATTCGCTTGTAGAGCGAGTTATATTGGCCGTTGCTCTAGGAACTTGATTTTTCGTGCTCGTGAACACCTACCATTGTGACTAAATAAAGGTGTAGTGATAAACATAAGCAGCTCGATATTAGACCACCTGGTTCAAACCGACGACAAAGCTAGCATTGAAGAATCCTTCTCCATCATCTACCAGGTACTAAATAAATTACCGAAAGCATTCAGGTACCGAGTACTCCAAACAGCAGAGGCTATTGCGATTCACCTAAAACAAATGGTGCACTGTGTGCAGAAGAAACTGGTCCAACTACTTATACTGCCCTGGCCTTCTATCGAGCCTATAAATTCATGAAATCTGTATTATTATTCTTCCTAACTTGTCTGATATTCAGTGTAGTGTTATGTTGATCCATATTATCACACTTATAGATGCTATTGGACTGTAATTCATTGATATTATTGATTCGATTTTGATAATTCCAATTCTTTCATGTTTATGGATATATAACTGTAGAACCTGATGATGAAGTTATCAAAAAGAATATGCTTTGTTCAGTAATCAGTATTTTGAACTTTCTAAAGGGCATTTCTGATCACTTATTTAAGTGACAATAGGAATAGTTATAGTTTAGCATACAAAATATAAATAATTCAAAAAACGTGAAAAATATATGTATCAGTTGTGACTGTTTAATTTTAGGTTTAGGATGATTATGAAAAACTGAGGCAGTATACACATGTAAAAAAAAGGTGCATTAAAAATTTTTAATCTAATAAAGTAGAAAACTATTAATTTTTTCAATCATCTTTGCATCTTTCATTAGTCACTCGACACAACTGATGATAGTATCAATGGCCAGGGCTCTGAGAATTGTGGTATCCCCTTGAAACGCGACAATGAATTCAGTAGTAGATTTTGAAAGTCCGCATTATGCAATAAATTATGAAGTGTTGGCAATTGACCAGTAATTTCAAGGCTACTATAAATGTCTCGAAGTTTATCCTGTTAAGGTTGAAACATTGAAAAAAGAGAATAGAGTATACTGTCCAGTAGCTCAATGTATTCAACAATGTAATATAAAAGTCAAACTGTTCATTATTACAACAGTGTCAATCATTTATTTGTTCAGATAAATTAATCTAACGAAGAACTCTATCTCCCAAATACGGAAAACGATTTTTCAATAGAATTTCAAAGTTATTTTATTAATACTAAAGCACAAGGGGCTACTTCATCATTTAGACCAATGAAAACTCCACTATAAGTTCAATTTCCTCACAAGTGGATGTTGAAATGTACTTAATAATGGTGGTAACTCCGTTATACATCAAGCGAACTGTCTTCCTACCAGCTGGTGGGAAGCATATAATTTAAACGTATATAAGATTTATTGCTTATCTCTTTATAATCACACTGGGGGTACTGTGGTGAGAGCTGTCTGTGAGCCAGAATTGTAGACAACAATCTACGTTGATGTTTACGGCCTGAATTGGAGTCATGAGAACAAAACACAATTACAAAGCTTAATCTTGAGGAACCAACCACAGCAGACTAAACGTGTGCAAATAGGATTCGCTGATATATGACTTAACTTTCTGAGAGACGGTCACAAAACGATGACAGAATAACCTTGAGCAAGAAAACAGCAAATCAGAAGAGGTTGCTTCTCTGCTAACAATAACGTATAATAATATAAATTAAAATCTATGAGTTTCTGTTGATTTTCTCAATATACAATCTGTTGCCTGACTCTTGTCTTATGTCGTTACAATACTAATGAATGTCAGGAGGAATTGAGGTATGACATAGTGTGTAACAGCGCTCAATATTGTCAGAAACGTCTCTGTTTGACTATGAGATTTTTTAAAACAAAGTTAGGGTTTGAGTTGGTGTAATAAAGCATAGCCAGTGACAACTTTTATACTGAGTGTAAGTGTTTCATGCACTCTTGTGTGTGAAATATTTGTTCATTATTCATCTGTCCCGTTTATCATAACAAGCTGGTAAATCTTATATATTTAGCTGGATAGAGAATATATATATAGTTTTGTGAACTTACTGATATCAAGAAGGTCCCTGGTTCGGATGCGTCAAGTACCTGTGGTTCCTGTAAGAAGTTATTTCGACTTTGACATGATTTTACTAGACCAAAACTGAAAACCTAGATGTATGAGATATGGTAAGAATAGACATTATTAGAAAAGAATAACAAAAACAGAATATTTCATGGCGTAAAATGATCACTAGATAGTTGGAATGCCATCGATATAGCAATTCCGTTCCATTTGCTAAGTGAAACCTGTCAAATAAGTTTTAAGATTGGCTAAGTGACAAAACACTTAAACAGCAGAAGTCGGTCGGTAGGTGGGGCTAAACAACATTTAACTGGGAACTTGAAGAGACCGATATTGCTTTGGAAGTCTGACACCAATCCACTTGGTCTTAAAGCTGCAATCTCTAACAATAAATTACTTGAGGTGAATACAAATAGATGATTGAAGAAAACCACAGAGGTGTTTTCAGCTGATGCATCTAAGCGATATTGTTTCCAAAACTTAAGGAGTACGGAAGCTGTCGCCAACTCAGTCTCACCGGATTATCTTGACAACGAATTATGAATTTCAAGCATACATATACATAAAAATTTAAGCTTTTCATATTAGTGAACTGGAACTTATATGGAAATCTTGCTTTCATTTCACATACATATTCTTGATGGTCATTATCACAACCAAATTAGGGAGACAACATTTTGACAGGAATATTCCATTGTAAACTGAGTAATGAGACGAACAGCATGAATGGACCAGACTGATGGCATTCTGACTTCATGTGTGTATATCAGTGACCATATACCATACTGTGTGCTTTGGTAACCATATACATAATATATTGGAGGTGAAGTCTGGTACCAGCAGCCGCGGTAACTCCACCTCCAAAAGCGTATATTAAGGTTGCTGCAGTTAGAAAGTCCGTAGTTGAACCTGGGTTATGCGGTCGCATGAAGTCGCTTGTTTGCGGTTTTGGTAACGATCAGAACTTGTGTTCGGCTTGGGGTAGCAGCTGTGCAGCCTTTCAACGGTATCTGTGTAAACGGGTGCTAACAAAGATGGGTGAGCTTGTCTTACTCGCTATCTGTTGGCATGCTTCCGGATACCTTTAACCGGGTGTCGGGAGCGGACGGCATCTTTACTTTGAGCAAATTTGAGTGCTCAAGGCAGGCCTTTGTGTCTAGAAATTCTTTCATGGAATAATGAAAAAGGACTTCAGTTCTATCTTGTTGGTCTTCGGATCCGAAGTAATGGCTAAGAGGGACAGACAGGGGCATTTGTATGGTGGTGTTAGAGGTGAAATCCTGGGATCACCGCTAGAAAAACTACAGCGAAAGCATTTACCAAGAATGTTTTCATTGATCAGGAGCGAAAGTCAGAGTTTCGAAGACGATCAGATACCGTCGTAATTCTGACCATAACGAATGCCAACTGACGATCTGCGATGGATCTATAATTGACATTACGGGCAGTCCGTGGGACACTAGACGTATATTATCTGCGAAATCCAGATCTAAAGTATTCTTATCGGTCGTCCGGCGTATTCCTGACTTCTCGCTCCCAACAGTCTGACGCATAATCCAGTCCACCACAATTAAGAATATCATCGGTGATAATAGACAGCCAAACTTGCCTTACTCCTGTATGCACTTCGAACGCCTCTCTGAGTTTTCCGTTGTGGATCACCTGACACGTGGCATTATCATATAGCCAGCTGTTGAATAAGGTTGACAAAGACTTGAGGTACGCCATAGTATTGAAGTAGTTTCCAAATTACGTCTCAGTTAACGCTGTCTGTCGAATGCCTTTTCAAAGTGGATGAATTTTAGATAAGCAGAGGTTTGACTGGCATTCTATGCCCTGTTCTGTGATGACTATTTGTAGAGTTACAATTTGATCAGCATATGATTCGCCTTTCCTGAATGCAGCTTATTCGGGGCTGACAGAGTTCTGTATCCTTTATTCTCTCCGGGATGATGCGTCTTAGTATATTCCTTGGCATGGACAATCGCACGATACCATTCCGTCTCTTGCAGAGTGAGGCATAGGTCACCCTTCTATGGCACCTCGACGAGGTAACCCTCCTTCCAGTCAGTAGATACCTTCCATTCCTTCCAAATCTTTTATAATAATGGCGTGAGAACATCCGCCGCAGTTTCTGGGTTCGTCGTCAGTGCTTCGGGATGGGGGAATTCTGTTTGGTCCTGCTGCTTTCTCGGCTGGCCTTCAACAGATTGATCGCATTTAGAATTTCTGCTTTCGTTGGAGGAGTGGTGTCCAGTGGCAAGCAGTTCTGTGAGTGTTGTCGGCCGTATTTCTAGGCGAGTTGCCGGGGATGGTCGATTCAAGAGTCTTTTTAAGTGATTGATCCATTGTTTGATTTGTTCCTCCTCCTTGGCAATCAGGTTCCCTCTAACATCAGTCGAGGGAGCCGAGCTCATCAACAGTGGACTTTGATACTGGTTTTCCACATTTTGCACCCTATAACCATTGTTTCAAAACAGATCCATAACTCCCACATACTTTATTCAACCTGTTAACTCAAGAGTAGCTGTTATTTTAGCAGTTTTGTTTGTAATTAAGATTGAAAGAGTGACTGAACTCCCGTCCCTGATAGCGGTTTCATCATATTTTATCTGGAACTACTCACTTTCTATCGTGTTTCAAACATTTTGATTCATAAGCATAAAGTGGAAAGCCAAGGTCTTGTCAACTCCAAAAAAGCACTGGTGGTTTAAGTGCTGTATATCAGGGGACAACAAAAGGAGTTGTCATCTCTCTTACAAAATTAAATAATACAAACATTTCAAATTAACAAATTTTTAATAGATAACCTTTTCCAAAACTTCTTTGGTGATAGGTTCATCAGGGCACTGCTCAGGGACACCTTCCGTTTCCATGTTAGATTGGTCTCTGTTATAAAAAAAACCAAAACAAACAGATATTTTTCATGAAAGATAAGAATTGAACGAATGTCGTTATGATTGTTTTTCTTCTTCTGACTGCAGAAATCCAGTAGTTTTTTCCTGTAGATTAATAACTTGAAACATTAAATTTTTAATCTCAAAAAGGATTATATTCAGTCAAGACCAGAGGGTGCATCTCTCTGAACGATAAAACAAGGAATGAAATACTGAAATGTGCTTTAGAAGATAGTCGTTGTCTGGATGACACAGTTTTATTTGTTAACCTAGGTATGGTATACATATATATATAAACAATAATAAATCTATCATTATTAAGTTGACCAAGAAAGCTTCTCACAAAACCTACAAATGAAGTCGAGTTGTCCGTAATATACAGGAAACTAATACACTGAAATAAATATTTTAATTTCCAATTTGATCATTTGATAAGCACGCAAGTTTCAGTGCTTTGAAATCTACTAAATAGAGTCGAAAAATGGTAACCACTTATGATAATGTAGAGAATCAAGCCTCCAACGTAAGAGAAATTTCAAAGGAAAGCGATTATCTGAAAAAATTTTCTGAACAACATTTGCAATAGAAGAGGCAGGAGTAGTGAATGTCAAATGTAGCTATTCAATATGGAAAAGAGACTGCTGGATAACTTCAAAGAATGTTAGCTGCTTATGGTGTTAAAGTCCATTTCAGGCAGCCAGATTCTCGACAGAAAGCTTCAATTAGTATGGAAGATACATTTCATAAAATGACACAAAACCACTTCGATTCTACGTTAATTTGTTTATTTACATCTGTAACACACTGAAATGAATTAATATGGAATTACACCCTACCACAATATCCAGGTTTTATACACATGCAGAACAGTTGTATTTATATGATAAAATGGTCGGAATGCGAGGGCTGCTATATATGAAGGAGCAATAGATAGATAAAAGTCACGGTGAGTAAAAATAGACTACACACATAATATCCACCTAAGAATGAAGTAATACAATGTCTTGAAAAAGGACCAACTATAGCAACACACATCATTGAAAGCAGATACAAGATTGATTTTGATATAATCGAGAGAAGACAAATTTCGAGAGATGATATCATTTCGTTGTCTCGTTACAATCACTTTACAACTAACATGGGTGACCAGATTATGCAGTTGACAGCTCAAAGACTTCGGTCAGACATCAAACGCACAGTCTACGCCGCATCTCTTTTTCTCACATGCCGAACATTTTCGATCGCTGTACCTACGATTAAAGGACGAAATTCTGTGGACTCTACTTCAAACTGTATCTACAAGTTCACCTGCAGTTGCGATGACACCTATATAGGTTGAACCAACAGAATATTCCAATGTCGTGGAAAAGAACATGTTTCAAAATGGTTATTAAAACATATAGAAAATCTCAATGTGATTAATCTGAATAGAAATCCAGCATCATCTATTGCAAAGCACTTATTAATGTCAGGTCGCAAAATCAATATTAATGACTGTTTCACAATTATTTCGCATAACTCTAATTCAAGGTTATTGAAGGTGATGGAAGCACTTTGGATTAATCACATACAGCCTAAACTGTGTGTACAAAAAACAACAGACTTCAATCTTCGTCTACCATGGACTACTTGACCTAGTTAAATATGATTGGTCATTAGTATGTACTTTTGTTTTTTATATAATTGAGTAATTGTCATGAACTTTATTTTATTTTATTATTGTTAACCATGTTATTTGTAAAGCGGTTGTAAAGAAACTACGAAATGATATCATCTCGCGAAATTTGTCTTCTAAATGCCTTATTCAAATTTATCAAAAGGACTAATTGTTTTAATAATCGAAAGAGAAGGAAGGAGTTTTCATTCGAACAAAGAAAGGCTGACCTTTGCGGTGTTGCTTATTCTAAACGATATCGAGTGCAATAAATATGATAAAAGGAAAAGACTTATCATCGATTTGAATCTGGCTTCTGCCCAGATTTTTGATTCGCCTGCAGTTATCACCAACTACATCAGTAACAGTCTGCTAACACAAAGCCATTTCAAATGGTCTCACTATCAAAACAATTTTTAGGCGATTCGTTGGTTTGTTGACCATAATTAACATTCCTGAAGTGACATGTTTTCCATACACATACTTACAACATATGTGTTGAGAGCTGTCTACTAGCCAAATTGGTAGACAGTAATTTACGTCAATATTTACGTTCCCAAGATTTGTCGTGAGAAAATGTGAACAAAGATTGACTTTGCGTAGGCGGATGCAGTTAACATATAGAAGATTTGACATTCAAGAAGCAGTCACAAATAGATGAAAGATTAACTTTACGTGAGAAACAACCAATCGGAAGACTGTGTTTGTTTACTTAAATATCCATAGTAATGTACATGAAAATATATAAATATGCGTTGATTTCCTTAATAAATGATCTGTTGCCTGACTCTTGCCTTCTGTTGTTACACATATATATACACACCTTACTATTTAATAATGACTAATTGATACAACATAAATATATGGCGACAGATGACATTTGTTCAGTGTGTAGAAACATTTACCTATAAATGACCTTAGTACAAGTTTACTTTATTCTATGTACAGTTCGATTATATATATTTTGGTGTTAAATCCAGTCTGAGTAATTCAGCTTACAATGCTTCAGCTTACAAAGTAAAAAAAAGATCATTGAGATCCTGTTTCAGCTTTGCAAAAACACTTTGGGATTATTTTAAATAATTTATATAATGATTCACTCAAAATTATTCCTCAAGCTATTCTAGGAAATTCTCAGCATCTATGGCCTGGATATTTATAAAGGTTTTTCGGACTATATGTTAGATTAACTATCCAACATGTGGCTACTTATTTAAATCTTAGAATTGACATGAGTGACATGAAACTACTAAATAAACCCATTTACACATAATATAGGGTATGTCATCTTCATCAGTTGCAGCTATCTTGAAGGTATCCTTTGTATGCAAAAAGTTATGAGACCAGAACATGTAGACAGTAAAGCCAGTGCGTCAAAATCGACAGTATTAAAAGAATGTAGAACCTAGACTTCTCAATATGCTCTCAAAAGTACATCAAAAACAGCTCAAAAAAATGAAATCAAATGAAAACCTGATAATAACTCGACCACACAAAAGTTCTGGAATTGTTGTGCTCAACAAGTCAGACTATGTGAAGAAACTCTAGCTAATTCTATCTGATGACGACGAATTTCAAAAACAGACGATCCAAAAACGATCCAACTGAACAGACGGAGCTCCAGCTAACCAAATTATTGAAAAAAATGAAAGATGAATCACTTATTAATACAGAACTATTCTAACAACTTCGCCCATCTGGTTCTACATCTCCAAGAATGTACGGACTAACTAAAGTGCACAAAAAAACGTCCCGCCCCAACCAATATTTGATATGATCAACACGTCATATCACCTAATCGCGAAGTGACTAGTGGAAATTCTTGAACCAGTGAGAGAGAAGCTCTCGAGATACACGACACATTCGATTTCGTCAGTTCAACTAAAAATTTCAACCTCGCAAATAAAAAGTGGTCTCCCTAGACGTTGTCTCTCTCTTCACCAATGTTCCACTGTTTTCTGTGTGATATTATGAAATGCAACAGCATAGATGTCGGCATACCGATCCACTATCTAAAGGAGCTGTTACTACGTTGCACCTTCAAGGTCTACTTCAGATTCGACGATAAAATTTCACAGATGGCATAACAATGGGCTCTCCACTGGGACCACTCTTGGTCGACTGTTTTATGCCCGGCCTCAAAAACAACTTCTTGTCATCGACTATCACTGACCTACATGTTTACAAGAGATACATTGATGATACTCTCATCATTTGTGATGAGAACCTGGACCTTGAAAACTTACTTCAAACCTTCAGCAATGCCCACCAAAACATTGACTTCACTCCTGAAGCTGAATCTAAAAAAGTGTTCCACTTCCTCGACGTCCATCCGACAAGAAATGCCGACAACTCTCTGGAAAAGTCCACATACAAAAAGCCTACATGGAATGGACAATTCATCAACTTTCAAAGCTTCATGCCTCTAAGTAGAAAGAGGAACCTAATATGCGCTCTTTCCTCGAGGATTCGGAAGATGTGTAGCGAGGAAGTGATTGACGAAGAACTGCATAGTCTCCAAGGAACCCTGATGGAAAACAGTTTTCCGCCTAGGTTGATAAACAATAATCTCAAATCAAAGGAGACTTCCGAACAAGTTCAATCCATCCCGAAGAAGATACCTCTGCTTAATCTAGAATTCAAAGGTGACACTGAAGCAGAAATCCTTCATAAACGCCTCTGTAAATCTCTGAGGAAGACATACTTCGCTGTGAGCCTACGACTAACGTTTTCCTGCAAGAAACTGTTCAACCAAGACGCGAAAGAACAGTTGTCTCACTGGACCACATATATACCACATATACCAGTATACATGCTCATGCGGAGCTGAGTACATCGGCCGTACCATGCACCATCACACAAAATAAGACTCCAAAAGGTTACTATTATTCATAAGTTATATATATATATTTCAGTGAAATTGACAGGAAGACTATTAAATATTCCATCATAGAATAATTTTATTTGATAAAAATAAAATGATCCATTATTATTTAATGATGGAATTTCCAGCACGAAATGACTGCGCATAATCATATCAGGGCACTCACATAGTTTTCAAACTTTGTTTAAATAATTTAATTATTATTATTTTTTATCCTCCACTTAACTGTACTACTTTTTAAGCCTACAGCTGTGTCCTACCATAGTATGTAATTGTGTATTAGTAAATGAATTGCGATTGCTGAGTTTTCTCTTAGTAATTCGTATTCATTAGGTCGATCATACTAAACTCAGCTATGTTCCGATAATCTGAATGCCTTTTATTTTATCTACTGGAATGATTAATGTATTTGGTCTTGCGGTCATTGGAAAGTATTCTATATATTGAGTTATTT